AAAATCTTCATAACCAGTTAAAAGTCATATTTAGGTTGTTTGACCACGTTTGACGTCTTCTTTCAATCATCCGATTGTAAATCTCACTTTTAATTGCCTATATCAGTTTATTTTATGGTTGACTTTACAATTTGAACAGTCCATAAGTAGGATAAAAAATCTAAAAAAGGACCCACCATTTTAGATTTGCTATAAAAGGAGTGAAATACCAGCCATTTTGTAGCGAAGCCATTTCCTGTAGCCAAGCATGATGGTAGTTGTAGTACTCGCATTTATTAGAGACTCTTTTAAAAATATCTCCCTAAGAGCCGTTTTTACATTTTCTTAGTAGAAACGCTAAAACTATTTCTATTTTTGGTTCGGAAAAATCTGCTTAGGTTGACTGTTGTAGCAGAAAAAGTAAGAGGACTATAACTACCATCATTCTTTACACAAAATTGAGTCGCTTGATCAAATAAAAATAGTGAGTTTCGAAGCGTTACTGATGGTCTAAATGGAAGTTTCTGACCATCGGTTATCGATCTATTTCTCACCCCTATTTCCRTATGGTTTAGGGAAACAGGAGTTTCTGTACATGAACAATGGCAACATATTTGCTTAACATGGGAAAGTTCCGATGGTCAAACAATTGTCTAYTACGATGGTCATCAACTTGCCAAAAGGTCGAACTTCAACAAAGGTCACATGATAGAATCTGGCGGCATTCTCATCATCGGTCAGGATCAAGACAGTTTTGGAGGGGGGTTCCAAGTGAAGGACAGTTATGCTGGCGARCTGACAGGTGTTAACATGTGGAACAGGGTACTAGGACCGAGTCAGATATCTGCTATGTCAAAATCTTGCGAAAACACAATAGATAGATCTGGGAACGTCTTGACGTTTTTTGACGTTTTATTTGACGGCATTAGATATGGTCAAGCAGAGATTCTCAACGAAACAACATGCAAGAGTTCACCAGGTAAGATTTGATAGATTTGTTTGATAAAAAAGAAATTGCCTGTGCTGAGATGATGCTTCGATGTGGAAATATTTATTTATTCTTTTCTAATTTTGTTGTTATTTTTATTTTATTGTTTTAATATCATGCATGCATAGCTAAAAAAAACACGGCAGCAAGTCGTCCGCAATATCTTGGTTATGGATTTCCAAGTGATCGTTTGAGTAACAATCTGTACACCAGCTCTCAAGAACWTCATCTTAAATTTTCATTTTATAGCGCAGCCTACGGGAAACAATGCAATGCGGTCGTAGAATACATGAGTTAGTAATGTCTGTATAATAAACAAACTTCATCATTAAAAATTGCTTTTGTACGGGAATTTAGCAGTCGTTTGATTTTGAATCTGAAATAATCTCACTCTTTGCCTACGGTTA